CAAAATAGTGAATTAATCTGACCTTTTTAAGTTGGTAAAAATCGAGTTCAAAGATTCCATTACATATAAGAGTGAAACTTATAAAAGCATATTAAAAAGGATTGTAACTAATTTGATATAGAGGTTTTACGCGCCAAGAGCAGTAATCATGCCAAACACAGCTTGTTTTCGAGTGGCATGGAATCCAAGATGGCGTCCTAGTGGTAAAAAATCGTCAGGAAAATAATTTTAAAGAACTGTTTTGAAATATATTTCAAATAAAGAATTTTGAAATGGATTGAAAATAACCAATATCAATCAATAATTAATATCACTATAATTTAATAATAATAAATATATTATAATAACAATCATATATATTAATAAATATTTTATGTAATATGTAATAATAAAATTATATAATTTAATAGTAATAAATATATATAATAATACTCATATAATAATAATAATTATAAATAGACAACATAATAGTAAAAAAATAATAAGAAACAATATAATAAAAATAATTATTATAAATAAATAATGTAATATAATAATTATTATTATATAAAATAATAATTGTATTTTTTGTATTATATTATAAATAAAATAGTGACATAAAATATATTAAAATTAATAAGTGCTGATAATTTGCAATATTCCCAAAACTGAGAGTTACTTTAATGAACTTCATTGAACTATGAACGTTGAAAAATGCATTATTTAAAAATAACATAAAGTGGAAATGTGCACAAATTAAAAGCACAGACCTCATATTTTTTAAAAAAATATCATTGAACTCACCAATGATATTAAAAATATTCATATTTGAAAATAGCAGAAAATACAACAGAAGACTGAAGCACTTGGCTTGAAGAACAAATGCAATGAAAATAGTTCACCTTTTAAAGAAATCGAATTAAAATTGTCTGAAATTAATAGGGTTACCGCGGGAAAAAAACCCAATAAAAATTATTTCTAATGTACGTCATCCCCATAGCACACAACCACATTACTACACGGTAAAAATATCAGGGTAACCCTATTGAAATGTTATCGTCCATCTTGGTGAACATATGCAACAACTTGGCGCGTAGCATTCCTATATTAAATTAGCACCAAACGATTTAAATACTCCACAAAAACAAATCTTCAAATTAAAGTTGAATTACTAGTCATAATTACTTATCAAGTATTCTTTCACCTGTGTATAATTTTCTTTATTACTCTTTCTTTTTTAAAATATATTTCTTTCTAAATTCGAAGAATCTCTAATTATTTTTTTTCTTTTAGATTGATTTGCTGAGAGATTTGCTTCCATTTTTTCGATGCCATTATGTTTGGTTTTTTTTTTCTTTTATTTGATTCTATTTTTTCCCAAAAATCCTACTTTCATTTTTCGAATTTCTTTTCAAAATATGTAAAGAATTGAAATGAATTGAAAGTTCCAGTTTTGTGTTTTACGATTTAGAAAAAAAAAAATCGTCTTCTTTTTATTTTTGAAAAATTACTTTCTATAATAATACATTTTTTTTTACTTTACAAACACAAAAGAAACTTCTTTTATTTCAGATTTTCCAAAAAGAAGACAAATGCTTCCACATAAAAGAAATTTCAAAGCAGGATAATTTTTGTTCATTTCATTTTTAAAAATTTGTCACTCCATTTAACAAATTACACTTCAAATAATTAGTATTTATGTTCAAATTACTCTGGATTACCTTAAACTTATTAATAAGAAATATTTTACTTCTTTTAAAGGGGATTGGGCATTCATTAAGAGCTTTCATCAAAGTCGTTATGAAAGTGTATTAAAAAATGCCTTTCCATTGTAAAGATGTATAAAGTTAGCAATTTAAAACTGTGAATTTTTTTTAAAGATAGATTTAGTAATACAATGTTATTAATGACTCATTGGAACTTAGCATTCCAAAAAAATTTGAAATTCAGAAGAAATTTGTAAGATTTTTTTAAAGATTTTTTATAATAAAAACAGATTTTTTTCTTGCTTAAAGCATTAAGAAAACTAATAAGTTCTAAATAAAATCAATCTAGTATGTATAATGGTTCATTTCATTTTTTTACAGTTTTTATTATTAATCTCTCACTCTCTATATAATTTATATTACGTTATTTTCAGGAAAAAACTGTTATGTTTTTCTGATTTGCATTTGAATTTCTTTTTGTTATTTAAAACTTTAAAGTTAATGAAAAATTTAATTTGATACCACTTTCTGCTGTTTTTGAAACATTGCAGCTGTACCCAAATTTGTTTTTCCCTTGATGAATAAAATATTTTTAATAGTCAGGCAAAAGTAAATATCCAAACAATTTCAATACTTTGTCATAGAATGCGCCTATATATATTTATATAAACTCTTTTTAAGAAATTCCTATTGAATTAAATATAATTTTACTGGACAAATATTACAAGCTCCAGATTTCGCCGATGCTATCTTTTTCAACAATGTTGTAACAGTATTATTAGAAAATGAAACCGTGACAACGAGATACGATGAACCGTCTTCCATTGTACTTGGCTAGTTCTTGTTTCAGTTCTTGGCTTCTTGACCATTTGATGCCGAGCCTCCCAGTACCGACTGACAACGACGTAAGTCTGGTGTTCATCGAGTCTAGTGCATTTGAGCAGGTGGTCACTATCCATCCTGTCATGGCCGTAGAGCGGACAGGCTTTGTCAGAAGCCAGGCCAAGTCATTGGAGATATACTTCCAGGAAGTCACGTCCGGTGGTTAGTTGAAAGCGGTAAATGGCCTCGGCTCTCTCCAGGTGCCTCGGTGTAGGATCCATTGTGTCCAAGGTCTCCCATGGTTTTCTAAGGCTCTTGGTCTTTTGATGCATGGCAGAACATTTGTCAATATATGTGAATACCATGCCTTTTGGTTTTCTGAAGGCTAAGGGGACTTCCGATTGAGGCAATTCAGCTCTCTGTTTGACTTTTTGGTTGGCTCATTACCATGGGTTCCCAATATGACTTTGACCCACTGTAAGGCCACAGTCCAGCCATATGAATGTGCTTCACAATTTTAGTACTACATCTCTGAATTGTGTGATGCCAGTCAGTTTGGTGTGTTACTGCTTAAGGCGGAAATAGCAGATTGGGAGTCGATGAGGAAATGTTAATCTTCTATTTTTAATTAAGCTTGTTTTATACAATGCTAGTTGAATGATAGAAACGCATGTTATAACAGAAGTTCCGATTTCTTACCTTTAAAAAATAACAATGTGTCTTTAAGAGGTAATAATGTGTATATTCGGAATAAATTAATTTACATGCCAAATTTTGAAGGTTTTCAGATTATTAAAAAGATGATGTGTTTTGTGTGCAAATATGTATACTCCGTCTGCTATATATGGTTGCAGTAGACTAGTTGTCCTGGCCCCAAACTCACAGCTGGCACTCCCTAGCCTTAAATCCTTCCGTTGGCCTGGTGTGTAAATTAGAACAGGGAGATGCCTGCTCAAGTGTCGTCATCGTCACTGGACCGAGTGGTTTAAAATTACTAGGTGTGTTGCCAACAACCTATGTGTCGCTTTTTAGTGCGATGTTAGTAAAAATTCATTCACTCATGTTGTATGTTACGGTAAAAGTGATTATTCCGGTTATTATGTATAATTACCTGTGATTATATATTCATATAACCACCACTAAACTTGGTAAAAGTGATAAATTACTGAATATTTATCACATTCACTGGCTAATTTCTAAAATCCCCAACTCGTATTGGGAATGTAATAAATCCAGATTATTTTGTGGAGTAACGATGACCAAATTAGAAAAAAAATAAATATTTTCAAATAGCATTATGAATTTTTTTTTCTTAAGAAGTAGAAGAACTGTCATAATGACTTTGAATAAAACTTACAATATTTCAATTTAAAAATTTTAATAAAGTTTTCTCTTCGGTATTTTACTTTCAGTGGATATCTTAAAACACATTAATCAAATGATAGCTTAAGTTATTTAATATATGTCGTAAGGTATTGAAAAAAAAACTGATAAAAATTTCTGAAAATAAAGTAAAGCCTAGCGCTTGCTCTTTTAGTAAATACTTTATGTTTCAATTCCTACCATTAGTTTACGTTGTCCCCATATATATATATTGTTAAGTAGATCCGAGGGCTCTGGGATTTTATGGAAAACAATCACAAAGAAACTAAACAGTTCTTTAAGAGCGATACGAATTTATTATCAAAAGTTCAATCCTTTAAATACAGGATTCAGCAGCAATATTCACAGAGTGAATCCCCGAAGGTCTTCCCACCTTCAACAGCAATCAAACACAATCACCAGTGTTTAAAAATACACGTAAGTAAAGATTGTTCACAAGCACAGCCGAGCTCTAATCGCTAGTCAAAACAAACCTCACTACTAGCTGGTTTAATCCAGACTGATTGGTTGCGGCTGGCACTCCAATTTATAAACCCAATGGAAACTTCCAGAAAAATCCGCACGCGTCATTAAGCGTGAACTTAATAGCGATATCCACTACTTTCTAGAAGAATTCAGAGGGTCCCAAACTCGCCAACATGGTCGCCAAAGTGGCGACCAACTTGGTTGAAAAAAATGCCAACTTGGCTCTACCGCCAAGATTCCGCCAAGTTCTTATTGAATCGCCATTATAACGTAAGGGGCGGCATTGCTTGTGAGTAGCGCAATTTTAACATGAAATAAATATAACATAGAGTAATATAAATGCACTAAACACTCAAATACAAATTATTTACACTATTTACACAAAATTTGTAACACTATATATATATATAGGGAGGGATATATATATAGGGATATATATATATATATTTTTTCAATTGTTAATAAAAGACTTTTTATTTATCCATTCACGTTCAAATACATTTTTTTAAACTTGTAGTGGATGACTTTTGATGTTAATACAGTTTTTTCAAATATTAATTCATTAATTTAATTTAATTAATCAATAAATATTAACAAACAAAAATAATAGTCCAGCACCATATATAAAAAGGGAAATCGCTCGTAGTCCCTGTAGCACAATGTATAGCGTATTGGATTTCTAAATTCAAAGATCATAAGTTTGAATCTCACCTGGGATGGCCTAATTTCTGAGAAGAATGTAATTTATTTTTATTATACTTTTTTATCGGAATAATTAAATTTAATTAATGAACAAACAGTAACAAGCAAAAATAATACTCCAGATCCCCATATAAAGGAAGGAGAATGGAAAATTGCTATTAAAAACGCTTTCTATTTTGCCACTTAATATTGTGATTCCGTCATATGTATATACATATTTATATTAATTTTGTAATTATTTAATAAAAGTAACTAAAATAAAATTTTTCTTTGTTGATCTAAGTAGGAATTGACTTAAAAAAAAAATTTTTTTTTATATTACTTGTTATCTAAAAAAACCTGAACTTTGACTTAAGTTATAACTGATATTTCTATATAATTTTTATATCTTGTGAAATAAAATACCTGAATAAAGAAAGCTATTTAGTTATTAGAACTTACACAAAACAGTTTCATGGGAAAAGCAATCTTAATCAATATTTTTAAAAATGCATTTACTGATATTTACTTGTGTAAACTTACTTTTTTATACACGGTACACTATTGCGTCATATAGAATTGCACACTATTTCAGATTTTTTACATTTGCACTTATTAGACTTGCCCTCTCCCTTGAAAACACATCGTTGATATCCCTGAACTCGTCATAGCAGACACTATACAGCTAAGTAAACTGAGCGAATTTTGGAAAAATTATGGACTTTTTTACGTTTTCCATTGAGTTGAGGATTTTATAAACTAACCGGTAAATGTGATAAACATATTCAATAATATATCACATTTATACGGTTTATTGGTGATTATGAATAATAACCGGGGGTAATTATACACAATCATCAATTTATTACATTTACCGTAACACACACACACACACAAGTATATGTAAGGTCTGGACAGTTAAAATTAAAAATTAATTGAATAATAAATAATAACAGAGTGAGAAATCTTTACTACCGCGTAGTGATTTTATGGTAAATATGACTATTTAAGGTAGAACACTGGTATAGATAAGAGAATTATCGAGAAGAGAGACTGGTGACTCCTTTGCTGTGATGATATCTTTTGTTCTATCCAATTAGGCACCAAATGGTCGCCATGTTAGAATAGTGATGCATGAACGATAATAAAACACTGGCACTTGAAAACGACGATTTCCTTTATTTAATAGAAGGCATGAAGCCTGCCATACATATATGTATAATGTTTCGATTTATATAATAAATACCTTTTGAGATTTAAAAGGAAAAAAAAATCACATAAAACGTAATTTTTTTCTAATTGTCGTATATGAATTTTTTTTCGTTTTATGCAGCATTGTGTGATAGGTGGATGTCATTTGTTGATAGTTATATCAAAATAATATGTTGATGTTTCAAAAACTTTAATATATAAAAAAATATCACATAAATATTATAATGAATAAATTCTGTTTTTGGTTGGATTTGAATCTTTTTATGAGGTAATTTGAAACATTGAGTTAAAAGAATGGTTGTGTAATTATTTTGATTTTATATACATTATTTTCATTGTTACATTTTCAATCATATATCATTATTATTATACAAATATATTATTTGTAGTAATAATAACTAAATGCAATATTTTGTTATCTACTTAGAGAGTAAATTTTAATGCTTCTTAGTATTTGATTTTTCTTTGGTATCACTTTGATTGGAAATGGCTTCATCAAGTAATGGTTGAAATGCATTCTATTCTTAACAATCAATTGGACGGATTCATTTAATGATTGTTTGTCTGGTCACTAGATGTAAGAAGTTATTGAAAATGATGATGTGATTCTGTTAGTTGGTATCTAGTTATTATAAATCTTTGTTATTACTCAAACATCAGTTGATATTGCGAACTCATTTGCTCATGTTACGATATATCGTTCAAAGTAGCATTAAATGTTATCAATTACTTTCTATTCGAGTTACATTTCGGTTACTTGAGAAAATTATTGATAAGAAATCTGTATATATTATGAATATATTTATAAAAATAATTATTGGTCAAAGAGAGAGAATAATTGAACTTTAAATTAGGGAATTTAAATCGAAACAACATATTACTATTTGTTTTGATAATATTAACTTGGTATTTGCCCATATTGAAAAGATCGTGTTTTTGCTTTTCACTAATTCAGTACTTTATATTCTAATGGACAGAGATTAACTAAGAAAGCACGGGCATGGCAATGTAACTCTTAGTGTAGTTGCAAATCAATAAACAAGCAATAGTATTGGCAGCATGCTCAACATGAATTAATATACAAATCTGATTAAAAGAATGCACATTGGGTGGTATCACAATTGTTTCTGTACAAAATGTATATTACATGAATGCACTGCTGTACAAAGAAAATACAATACTTACAACAAACTTCATCAATATCATATCAACCATCGTGTGATACGAGAGTACTTGCCATGCTCGGGGAGTCGTACTCGGAAAAAATAATTTAGAAACTAATAAGGCAAATCGTTCCGATCATCTCTCATTATATGGTTGAAAGTTTACTTGTTTGTTGGAGGTCATTGTTAATTAGCAATATGCTTCCAAGGTTAACCATACATTTTCAATGGGATCCAGATCATGAGAGTGTACTAGACTTGCACTATGTACTAGAGCGTACTATGAAAGATATATCTTTGCTTCAAGACAATATTCTACAGCAAGCGCGTGATGACAAGTTGTATTATTATCATCAAATTAAACTTTTTTCTGACACCATCTGGAAAAAGTCAAACATGTGGGAGAAGAATACCATCATTCGATCATCAACCAGTAATAGACCCTTGGTCCATGCTGCTACTGATTCTCGTTTCTTGCGCATACTATAATACTGAAAGTCGAATTTCAGTTCTTTTTTTATATTTCAGCAACAATAAGCATAAACAATTCACGCTTTAATATTTTACGTCTACATTAGGACGATATAACGAAGCAGGTTCCACCAGAGAAAAACCTATCAAGCCACCCATCAACAGTCAAATTGTGTTGATGGCTCCATTGAAATTGGAAGATATGGCGAGATTGAGATATCGACAATATCTCTGTGAAATATGCAAAAACACAGATTTTCTGGCGAGTTTTCGTACTCTTTTGCAAACATAACGCAACAGTTTTATGACACCTTAGAGTTCATGTGGCAGCACGGCTGCATTGCTGAAATAGTAAAAAAAGATAAAATTTTCTTGAAGCTTTGAAGGGATAGGACAAACCTACTCTCCAACCATGTGCTTGCTGCAGATTTGTACAAGATTTATTGGTCAAAATACAAAAGAGTTGCAGCTATCAATAAATGTTAGGCCGCATTTATATTTTTATACATGCTACCTCATGTTGTGGCATTGATTTTCAGACACTGTTAATTTTGTCTTTACTTAATATGTGCCATGTTGAATGAACTTTGGCAAGTACATCTTATAAATTTTGTGGTAGTGGTGGAGTCTTAACAGAGGATATGAGAGTGTTTGAGGAATTGAGGAAGAAGCAGACATGATCATAAAAACAACTACTTTTATTGTATCTTTATCAGTTTACGAAATATGCAATTTTTGTAACTTAAAGCTGGGAGAAATATGAACAATACTATCCTCTAATAGGATAACTAGATTGTCGAAAATATTTATCTGTATTTGAAGCTCCTTGCTATGTTACTTCTCGAAGCCCGATAGTTTGGTGAGCTACAAGTTTGATTACCTCCTTGTGGATTTTACTTCGACTGTTAATCTCTAGATGCACGACTACCAGTCCTAATACTTGGATTTCCCGCTTAACGATCAACTCTTAACCATTAACTCACATACTCAACTAAAGGTACTGAACTAGTAGTTACATTTGTATAAAATCAAGTCATGTCCGGAAAGTGGTTTTTAAACTAAAATCTTATTTCAAGAATATTTTCCTAAATAGAATTAGTAGAACACGAATAGTACCCGTTACAAGGTCTATAGTATCTAATAAGTCTATGGGCGTCATGTCGAATGATGCTACTGGCAGTGGCGCACACAAGGGGGGTCCGGACCCCCCAAAGCCCTTGATTTTTCACGATTGATTGTAATTCTAAGTATATAGTACGTAAAATTTAATTAAGTATTTGTTATTATGATTAATTTTATTAATTAATGCTAATTATTTATTCAGTAGTTAGTTTTTTACTGTGTTTTGTTCCCGAAAATTCGCAAAATCAAAAGGAGTATGATACAAGAATGGTGAACTTTCGACCCCGGACTCCCCCTTGAAAAATTCCTGTGTGCACTACTGACTACTGGTCATTATATAATATCTATGACGGACGAGCTAAGTTCTCTAGATGGCAGCAGGAAGATAATGAGTGTTGTCTTGGGAAAATAGAGAACTGGGAGTGTAATTTACACAAACAGAAGAGCCTCTGTTCGAAGAGTTTCAATTACGCATGCATTGGCCATCACGGTAGCTCTAATAAAGACCAGCAATGATTTGGCATTCTACGAAATTGCTTCCCATAATACTACACTTTAATGGATGAATAATAATGAATGGATGCATACTGATTGACAACAAACAGTCCATTGTGACGCTGATTCCGTTGTTTTCACATATGGATGCAAGACTCATTACTAATGATTATCTTCTACATTACACAGGGATCCATTTTGTCCTTTTTTTTGCACGATCGCAGTCTCTGTTGATGTTGTTGTGGTACTAGGGGGTATCTTGGTGAAGACGTAGAGAGACTATTAGTCTTCGTTCAAGCAACCTGACCAATGCAGCTGTCTGCTAATGGGATTGGCGCATACAAAGTAATGCAGAGAGAGCATTACTTTCCGCATTGTGTCTAGAATAGTGGCAATTAGTGTGCATGATATTTGATGTACCATTCTCTGATCTTCCCTACTTGTAGTCCGTGTATTTCCTCTTGATCCTACTTGTAGACGATGACTTACTTGTACCCAAGTACACCAAAAGTATGAAATTGTAATACCTGTGAAATCAATATGATGTGACGAAATTACCAGTAGCCTTCCTGCAG